GCGGGACGCATGCGGGCACACCCACTGGGACCTTCGGTGGAGCTCCCTATGGGGCCACGAAACGTGTGCGGGGTGTGCCGACATGGGTGTGCGGGACGCATGCGGGCACGCCCGTTGGGACCTTCGGTGGAGTCCCCTATGGGGCCACGAAACGTGTGAGGGGTGTGCCGAAATTGGTGTGCGGGATGCGTGCGGGCACACCCACTGGGACCTTCGGTGGAGTTCCCTAGGAGTCCACGAAACGTGTGAGGGGTTGTGCCGAAATGGGTGTGCGGGGCGCATGCGGGCACACCCGCTGGGACCTCCGGTGGAGTTCCCTATGGGGCCACGAAACGTGTGAGGGGTGTGCCGAAATGGGTGTGCGGGACGCATGCGGGCACGCCCGTTGGGACCTTCGGTGGAGCTCCCTATGGGGCCACGGAACGTGTGCGGGGTGTGCCGACATGGGTGTGCGGGACGCATGCGGGCACACCCATTGGGACTTTCGGTGGAGCTCCCTATGGGGCCACGAAACGTGTGAGGGGTGTGCCGAAATGGGTGTGCGGGACGCATGCGGGCACACCCATTGGGACCTTCGGTGGAGCGCCCTATGGGGCCACGGAACGTGTGCGGGGTGTGCCGAAATGGTTGTGCGGGACGCATGCGGGCACACCCACTGGGACCTTCGGTGGAGCTCCCTATGGGGCCACGAAACGTGTGAGGGGTGTGCCGAAATAGGTGTGCGGGACGCATGCGGGCACACCCACTGGGACCTTCGGTGGAGCTCCCTATGGGGCCACGAAACGTGTGAGGGGTGTGCCGACATGGGTGTGCGGGACGCATGCGGGCACGCCCACTGGGACCTTCGGTTGAGCTTCCTATGGGGCCACGAAACGTGTGCGGGGTGTGCCGAAATGGGTGTGCGGGACGAATGCGGGCACACCCACTGGGACCTTCGGTGGAGCTCCCTATGGGGCCACGAAACGTGTGAGGGGTGTGCCGAAATGGGTGTGCGGGACGTGAGAAGAGGAGGGAGGAGGCAGCGGGAGGAGGAGCGGGAGGAACGCGGGGCACCGTCTCTTCAAAACGAGGACCCAACAACACAGGTTGGTTGGGAAAAACAAGAGTTGAACAAAGAGTTCCAAAAGGCGCCCGAATAAACCGGACCCCCCTTCGCTACAATCCAAAGAAAACGCCCGAATAAATTTGACTCCCCAGTTGAAAAAAAACGCTTCAAAAATCCAGACTCAGGGGACGATTAATTAGGGATTTGGAGTAGGCCCAGGGGGGCTGAGGATAAGCTATCGTTGCCCGTCCTTCGCAACTGCAGATGACGGGAAGCGCCTCCGGCGTGCACCATTGGTTCTGGAGCTTTATTTTTTCATTGACTAAGGGCTACGCATTCCATGCGGCACCTCGCTGGCGGATGTCGGAAAAATGGCCGTTTCGCTCGAGACATCTTCGAAACATCGGCTCCGGAGGGGAGCCCGAACCAGCATTATCTTGGAGTCGCTCCCGGAGGGCCTCAAAACAGCCCAAGAGAGTTCCCAAAGGCCCCCCAGGGGACCCCCAAAACGGCCCAAGAGACTCCCAAGAGGCCCCCAAGAGGCGCCCAGAGGCCCCCAAGAGGCGCCCAGAGGCCCCCCCGGGCACGCGAAGAGGCCCCAGAGGCCCAAAAGACACCCTGGAGAGCCCCAGGAGCCCCCAGGGGCGCCCCAAGCAGACCCCACGAGACCCCCAAGAGCGCTCTAGGAGCCACCCAGATAGCTCACAAAGAACCCCAAGACGGCCCGAGAAGGGCCAAGAAGGCCCCAAGAGACTCCCGGGAACGCCCCAGGAGGCCCCCAGCGCCGAGACGGCCTAAGGAAGCTCCCACAGAACCCCACGACGCGCCCAGACAGCCCAAGAAGACCCCAGAAGCCCATAAGAGGACCCAAGGGGCCCCCAAGAAGCCCCCAACAGGCCCCTTTCTCCAATTGCCTCGTACTGTCCTCTGTCGTCGTCGTCGCCGTCGTCATCATCGCCCTCCTCATTCCTCCTTGTACTCGCCCTCGTTCTCTTCGTCCTCGTCCTTGTGCTTCTCTTCCTCCTTGTTGTCCTCATGCTTCTCCTCGCTATCCTCACGTTCGCCGTCCTCGTCATCGACTCCTCGTTGTCCTCGCCTTTCTTTTCTTCTTCGCCCAATACGCCCATTAGGCTACAGCGGTGCTTCCCGTTCTTGTCCGATCAGGTTTACTTGGGAATGTGGTAAGTCTCACTCGCCAGCTGGGCGCTCCGCCAGAGCCAACTTGGCGCTCTCTGCGCCTCTCCTTTTCCCCTGACCGATGAATCCGTGCCGTGCCGTGTCTTGGCTCGCTTTCCCATTGGAGATCAGGCCGTACGTAACAATCAGGAGCATAACCACGAGGAAGCAGGGGGAGTCAGATGGCAATGGTGTCTGCGGTTGTGTCGGTTCGGCTCGTCGCAGTCAGTTGCGTTGGGTCGGTTCGGTTGGGTCGGTTATTGTGTCGTCGCCGCGCTGCAGAGCCCCTCCGGGCTGCCTGCGGCCTGTCGGTTTCGGTCGGTTTCGGTTTCGCTGTCCGTTCGGTCGGCTCTCGGTTTTGTTGTTGCCGTGGACGGCCTTTGAGGTGGAGCGGCAGTTTCGAGATGACCCTTGTGGCGTTTGCGGGGCGTCGTGGGGGCCTCGTGTCTGCGGTTTTCTTCGAGACGCCTCGGAAGTTTCTGTGTGCGCGTTGGGGTTTTCCTGGGTTCGTACGCAGTTTCACACTTCGTTATGTCGCAAATAGTGGCTCACACCTGTGTTGCTTCACGAGCAAGATTTTGTTTTTTGCGCTTCCATCACCTCGCACTGCTTCGCCCTGAGAATATAGAGAATAATCATTTCCCGCTTGAGATAAGAGTGAGCCATAATTGTTCCCCAAGGCCGTGAGCGTGAGTCGGGGCCTCAGGGGAGAGATTGCTTTTGTGCGTAACTGTCGTTCCCTAGGCCCCGCTCGCTATGGCGCTCGCAGCGCACCCTCGCCCCGACGTGCCCCACCCCGCCCAAGCCCGCCCCTACTTCATGTGCCTTCCTACTTCGACTATCGAGCGGTTGGCCCTCTTTCCTTCTCTTCAGTGAGCGGGCGGAAACCCGATCTATGTTCAAGTCTTTCCGGCTTCATGTCTCTACCCACTTCTGCCGGTCGATGGGCACTGTTATTCGGGCCCCCCCCCACCTCCCACCGTGATGACCGCTCCCGGAAATGATAGAAACATCAAGTCGGACTTGGATCCAGAGGCCTCCAGGGACTCCGGAGGCCTCTTGGCTCCTGGTGGGCCACCCAGCGATGCGGGGGAGTGCAGAGACCTCCGAAACCTCGGAGCGGCGGCGCGGAGCGGAGGGCGTGGCTCGGTAGCGACACATGGGAGCCGGTATACAGGGCCCAAAAAGATACACCACCACAACCACCTCCCTTACTGCCTCCGTATCCCAGGGAAGAGGGGGGGGCAGAGGAGGATAGAGCAGGGAGGGGGAACGGAGATGGTGGTGGTGTATCTATTCTCGGGCCCCGCACTGCACCGCCTCGAAGTTCTAGGCCTCCCAGGTGGGGTCCGAGCACGTGGGGTCTGAGGGTCGTGCCGCATCGCCGATACATTGGCCATACGTCTCGATTTGGAGCCCGATTCTCTCCACGCCGACGGCACCGTTGCATCGCCGAGTCGCCAATGCATCGCCAATGCAGTGCATCGGCGATGGATCGCAGATGTATCGGCGATGCGACTCGATCCTCCGACCCCATCTGCCTCGACCCCATCTGGGAGGCCTCTAGACCTTCTGTCACTGGAGTGTGTTAGCGTGCGTGGTGCCTTGTGACCGATGGTACAGCGCCAGTGTGGCGTCGACCAGCGTCGGTGAGCGTTCATTGGCAAGAGCCAGCAAGATGACACGGGAGACGCTCCCCTGAGATGCCACCGGAGCGCGGACGAGGGCTCCCGCGACGGCCTCGAGGAGCCCCGAGGAGGCCACGAGGTCCCCGCCAAGACAGCCGAGAGGACCCTGGGGCCCAGGGGGTTCGCGCGGCGCGGCCTCGGCACGAGCGGGTGCCCTTCTCGCCACGGGAGCGGCACGAGGGCGCGCGACGGCGCGGAGATCATCGCAGGGCGCCGTTCGAGCTGGCCATCGATGCCGGCCAGCCCGCTGCGATTCGATTCCGATGCTTCGAGGGGCCGACGCGGCCCGATGCTTTTGCTCGGCGCGGTTGTGAGTCCTGGCGCGGCCAGTCCGATGCGTTCCCGTCTCTGTGACGATGCGGCCTGGTCCGACGCACTCCGATTCGGTCCGACTTCTCGATTCGATGTTGACTGATCTTGCTGGGGTGACTCGATATTGCCTAGGGAGGGGGGAGGCAGTAGGGAAGAGGAGGAGGAGGAGGAGGAGGAGGAATAGGAGAAGAAGAAACACAGCATATGAAGATTAGCAAAATTACGCCCAGGAAGAATGAGGAGGAAAAGGAGGAGGAGGAGGAGGATGAACAGGAGGAGGCGGACGAGCGAAGAGGGATGAGGAGGAGGAGGATGAGGAGTTGATTCAGCGTGCCCACGGAGGCACAGAGAACCTCCAAAGCACCCGCCTCGGGTCCCAGAGGCCTTTCAGAATGCTGCAGAGTCGCAGGGAAGGCTTGGGGAGCAACCTTGGGTTCAGCAGCAACTCATGGGAGCCTTGAAACACTCGCAACTCCGCCTTCAGAGTGCATGGGCGTCGATTGATGTTTGGGAAAATACGAGATAGCGCCGAGCTTCTGTCGATTAGCGTCGATTGGCAAGGGCCAACAAGATATGATATTGGAGGCTCCCATGAGTTTCCGCAGAGCTTTGGGCAGGCGCACACCTGGAAGCCTCTGGATGGAAACATCCTATGACCCCGTGTCTCCGCGCCCCCGTATATGGAGCGTCGATGGCGGGAGACGCGACACTTGGGAAGATTCTTAGGGGAAGGAGGGGGGACTGGCGAATTTAGAGTTCATACCTTGTCTGGCTTTCCCGAGGCTTTGATGAGTGCGTTTGATTGTGCGCGGAAGCGCACGCGAGACGTGGTCGCTATCATCTTGTCTCAGTGCATCAAGTCTGCATTTGCGCGCCCTCGCATGCGTAGTCCGTTGGATCAACGCGCCGCCGCCCTGCTTGGCCCTCGCGCCCGCAGTCGTTAGGGCTCAGGGCATTTGGTTTTGAGCTGGGGTGGTCTGACCTTGAGAACCGGTTTCCATTTGCATGACACAAAAATGTGGGGGTGCCAAGTTAACCGAGGATCAGATCCATTGGACCGTCATGCAGGCCATGGCCAAGGAGGACTTCAAAGCCGACCGCAGGCCCGCCATCGACGGGGCGGGAATCGACAGCCAGGGGGGGTCCGAGGTGGAGCAAGGGCCTCCTCCTCCTCCTCCTCCTCCTCCTCCTCCTCCACAACCTCCTCCTCCCCCTCCTCCTTCTCCTCCTTCTCCTCCTCCTCCTCCTCGACAACCTCCTCCTCCCCCTCCTCCTCCTCCTCCTCCTCCTCCTCCTCAGCGACAGGGTGGGGATGCGCCCAGGGGGGGCCAGGCACCGATCCCAACGCGCCCACTCCTGGCCGATCGGGGCCTGCCCACTCCGGGGGGCGCATTGCACAGCGCGGGCATGGGCCCACTGCCCCGCTGCGCCGCCCCTCCCGGGCACGGCGGGCGAGCTGCCGAGTCGCCTCCCCCCGCCTCCCTGCCCCGGAACGCCCGGCTCCGCCAGCGGGGCCAAAATGGCTGACCTGTCGGCGAGGCATCGCCGATGCCAGCACAGTGCTCCCCAACTCCCTTGGGCCAGTCCTGCCTCCGTTCAAGCAGTGGCGAAGCGTCCTGGCTCGCCTAGAGCCCTACCAAACAATGTTCTAAGAACCTTTTGTGGTTTCCACGAAGAACATTTCTGGCGGAGTCTGTCTTGTTTTAACACATCGGGATTATGTTCTAAGAACATTGTTTTTGTGATTGAAACATTTTTGGGTTCTAAGAACATTTCGTGGTAGGACTATAGAAATGCCGGGACGGTCGGTCCCTGCTCAATCCGTCGCTCCCCTTCGGCCCGGGCGTCGGTGGCACTGTTGCCCAGGAAGGCGCGCAGGCGCGGGGGCGTCGGAGCGGCCTGGGCCGTGCCGCCGAGGGAGGCCCCCCCCGCGGTTGGCGCCCGCAGGGAGGGGGTTCCGGTCGGGACGTGCCGCGCTCGCCGCGGGCTGCTGCCCCCGCGTGTGGCAAGGCTGCGTCCGGCGTTGCTTTTTGTGTGTGTGCGCATGTATAAGTTCACGGTTCGCCGGACTGCCGCGCCTCAGGCTGCGGGTCCCCATGTCCGTGGAGTGGACTACCACGACTGGTATTCCTGACATCACTTTGGTGGCTCAACGCGCTCTTCCGCTCTTTCTCTGTTCATTAAAGCTGTGCGCGTCCCGCTTAGCTTTCAGCGGAAGAGGTTCGCTCTCGCCCTGCAGATCAACCAACAAAAAGTGTGCGCCTGTATGTACGCATCATAACTCTGTTCGTGTGCCAGGGTTGTAGTCGTGGGCCTCGGAGCTCTCGGCGGCCCCTTCCTCGGGGCGGGGCGGGTGTCTCAGCCGGGGTGGCTTTCTGCTGGTCCCGGGGCCCGAAGCTCGGGGATCAGCAGAGGGGGGGGTGAGCCCAAGGCGGGGTCCGTGGGCGAACCCGGCTGTCTTCCAGGGGCCGCGCGGTAAGATGTTCGTCTAGGGCCCCTTCTGGCCCGACCCCTCAGTGCCCTTCCCGAGAAGCGCTCATTCAGAGACCGGAATCGAGGAGAAACTCCAGGATCAATTCTGGGGTGACTGATGAGCTTTCAAGGCGCTCCATCCACTGGGTCGCCGTGCCGTCTTGGACCAGAGAGGCCAGTCCGATTTTCGAGAATTCACAGGGCGCGCACTCACCCCTCCACTCTCGCCCGTCTTACCGTCCCCCCTGCTCGAGAACTGCTCTGGGCCAGCCAGTCAGGTACGTAGTGGCATACAGCGCGCCTCAGATTCCAGCACGCTCGATTTCGAGGCTGAAGCTCTCGCCTCGCAGTGCGACTGCCTTGAGTTTCCAGTCTTCCAGTCCGTTCCAGTCCCCCCCGTTCCTTTGTTTTTCCCGCCTCCATCTTACACATCCCTTTCTCCCTGTCCTCCCTCCCGCCCCGAGAGAGGAGGGGGAGGGACAGATGTGAGGTTCATGTCTCTGGGGGCGACAACGGCTTTGAGGTCTCGGGCCGACGCTTCGGTGTAGGACATCCCTACACCACTAATTATGATATCGCCGCAACCATGCTGCGCAGCACGTTGGATCGATTTTGTCGTTTGTTGCGCTCCGGCCAGTTGGACATCAGTCGTGCATGTGGCCTGCAAGGAACTGGAGACATGTGCATGAGCGTAGCTCAGTGCAATTCTAGACGCTTCGCTTATCCCCACCAGCCCATCCCGAAACGATGTCCTGGCGAGTTGAGGTGATCAGGGAAGTGCGGCAGCAAAGAGGAGGACGGCCGAATCGTGCAAAGGAGTGAGGAGGAGAAGGAGGAGGTGGATGGATGGATGGATGAGGGAGTGGGAAGACGGAGGATGAATAGGATGAGGAGGAGGCGGAGGAGGAGGAGGAGGAGGAAGAGAAGGAGTAGGAGCAGGAAGGAGGAACAGGAGGAGGAGGAGGAGGGCAAGCACAAGGGCCAGAGGTCTCTTGGATGCCTCTAGGAGCCTCTTGGAGTATCTCTTGGGCGATTCTTGGGGGCCTCTTGGGACGTCTTGGGGGTCTCTTGGCGATCCTGGGGGGCTCTTCGGGGTCTTGGGTGCCTCGGGGGGGGGGCCTCTTGGGGCCTCTGAGGGTCTTCTTGGGGGCCTTCTGGGGGCCTCTTGGGGTCCTCTTGGGGCCATCTTGGGGCCATCTTGGGACCTCTTGGGGCCTCCTGGGCGCTTCTTTGTGCCATCTTGGAGGAGATCTATCAAAGAAGAGCTGAGCTTTAATTAGCGGTGCCCCCCCAGGAGGCCAAAATGGGGCCAAAACACTGCTAAAATCAATGATTTTGGCTTCCTCGCCGAGGCTGTTTTGGACGCTCTGCCCGCTCCCCGCCCCTCCTGTCCAGGTCAGTGGGGAGGGGGTAGGGGGAGGGGTAAACCCCTCCCCGAAGGGGAAGAGGGAGGGGTGGAAGAGGAAACGTCCTAAACCACCGACGCCCAGAGGGCTGGTGGGATTACGGGAAAGCCCCCAACCTTATTCAGTTTCGAGCGATCCCCGCCAAGTTGATTCAGCACATCAAGGCGGTTGTGCATAATCCATGTCGTTGATGTCTGTGTTGATGATCGTTTCATGTTGTGAGCCGTAAGCATTGGTGGATGTGATGCGTAGGGGCTTCGACCTCTGCCACCGGCTCTTTCTCTACCATAATGGAATGTTTCAGAATGTTGTTTGGACGTGTCGGTGCTGTTGCCAAAACTTTTTGGAATATCATGCGAGGGCGATGGGCATTCAGCAGACACCTTGAGATGTTGGATTTGTTGTTGAATTGAGACTCTGGCTTGGGGAGCGCAAATCTGGCTCTAGCTACTAAGAATGCTGGCCCCGGGGCCACGAAGGTTGCGTCATTTACGAGAGATGCTCGCGTCAGGAGCGCGAGTATGGCGGAGTAGATTATGTATCCCATGGCCTTCCACCCATCTTGCCACCGTGCTTTTGTTGTAGTCATCGTCCCCTGAGGTGTCGTCGGGATGTCGCGGGCGGCTCCCCGGGGGCTTCTTGGGGGCCGTTTTGAGGTTCTTCGGCGCCGTGTTGGGCCTTCTTGGCGCGTGTTCTGGGCCTCTTGGGGGTTCTCTTGGGGCCTCTTAGGGGCTCTTAGGGGCCTCCTTGGGGCCTCCTTCGGGCCTCCTGGGGCGGAAGGCTCGGAGTTTCCGTTCGTGTTCTCCCTCCTGGGCCATTCTTGAGGTTGTTTTTGGGACGTCTTGGGTGCCGTCTGGGAGCCCTCCTGGGCCGTGTTAGGGGCCCTCTTGTGGGCTCCTGGGCCGACTTGGGGCAATATTAGGGGCCTCTGGAGCCGCCTTGGAGCGTCGGAAGCTCGAACAGTCGAGGGGACGAGGAGGAGGAGGAGGAGGAGGAGGAGGAGGAGGAGGAAGGCGAGGAGGAGAAAGAGGAGGAGAACGATGACGAGGGCGAGGACGAGGAGGAGGAGGAGGAGGAGGATGAGGAGGAGGAGGAGGAGAGGTAGGAGGAGGAGGAGAGGAGGAAGGAGGAGGCGAGGAGGACGAGGAGGACAGACAAAGGAGGAGGAGGAGGACGAGGAGGAGGAGGACGAGGAGGAGGAGGAGGAGGAGGAGGGAGGAGGAGGAGGAGAGGAGAAGAGGAGGGGGGGGAGAGGAGGAGGAGGAGGAGGTGAAGGAGGGAGGACGACGAGGACGAGGAGAAGGAGGAGGAGGAGGACGAGGACGTGGTCGAGGAGGAGGAGGAGGACGAGGAGGACGAGGAGCACGAGGAACACGAGGAGCACGAGCATCACGAGGAGCACGAGGAGCACGAAAACGAGGACAAGGACGAGGAGGAGGAGGAGGAGGAAGCGGAGGAGAGGGAGGAGAGGGAGGATTATGATGAGGAGGAGGAGGAGGAGCAGGAGGAGGAGGAGGAGGAAGGGAGGAGGTCCGTAGCCATTTTGGCTCAAGACCAAACGGGGGGAAGCAACGAAGTTGCGAGGTAACCTGATTGGTCTTGTTGCCCATCCGTGGCCACCCTCGAGGCCGATTCAGGCCAGGTTTTCGCGAGCACGATCTTTCCCGCCACGGCGAGCCGCCAGAGCGGCCGTGGTTTCTGTTCCAGGAAGCAGGAGCCCCTCGAGCCATGTCGCCAGGTTGGTACTGTGGCAAGTGCGGGTTCTTCAACTACGGGCACCGTCGTGTCTGCCGCCAGAGCGGATGTGACGGGTGCAATCCAGTTCAAGCAGCCCGGCCTGATCAGAGCTACTGGGCACAGTACTCGGTGCCAGGCGGGGTGTGGTATCAAGGGCCTCCAGTGCTTCGGCAGAGTGATGGAGGCAAAGGTGGTGGCAAGCATGACAAGGGCGGCAAAAAGGGCCTTGGGGGGGGCAAGTCCCCTCAGGGTGGCAAAGGGCCAGGTGGCCGGCTACCGCCACGGGCCCTCGCGCAGGAGGAGCGTGAGATGTGGATGGCCATGTCGGAAGAACAGTTCGCCGTTCTGGGTCAAAGCTTGTCGCAGTCGCACAGAGATCCGCTTGCCCACGCGCGTGCCATGGCCAACTTCGGGCTGCAGGGCGCGCAGGCGGAGGCACAGCAGGCCAATCTGCAGATTGGCAAGTTCTCGCAGCAGGTGCTGCATCA